GATAGGGAAACAAAAGGCACCTGCAAACTAGGGAGGAAGAGGAGCAGCAGATCAGAGCAGGAGCTGGCTATGGGGCTGAAAGCTCTCTGTAGAGATGTGAAGCACCAAGCAGGAACAGGGAATAGGGTGAACAAACCATGCCTGAAGAATGAATGTTTAAGAAGACTTGATTTGGGTTTGAGGATTGAGTGGTGACCATGGGTAACCACCCCAGGACCTGTCAGTATGGTTTCCTGGGACTGGCTGGACTGGGAGCATCCCTGCATTTGGTGTACCTTCTCTAATGGGAATAATAATTCCAAGCTTGACCCTTGACTGTACTGATTATTTTTGGTGGCAATAATAAAGCAGCCCTTCACTTTTCAGTGAACAATGGATTCAGTGAGGGAGGGCAGGAGCATGCAAAACCTGGCAGGGGGTTCTTATGCTACACTTGGTTTTGAAGGTGTGGTATGTGCTGCCAAATGTCTGTAGAGCCTGGAGAACCACAGTGATCACAGCCAGGCCTGTAACATTAATCCCTTTTTCTTAAGTGTGAAATAACAGGCATATTTTTTGTGCTAATTTCACTGGTAGGAAGCTGTAGGTAAAGATATCCTTTATCACGCTGAGAATCACAGGTGGTCAGACTCAAGCTAAATTAATTTTCCTTTAGCCAAGTAAATTAAGAAAGTGGGAGTTACTTCCTCACAAGGCATAGGGGATGGGTAGCAAAACTGAAGAAGCGTTCTTGGTCCAGAGTGGCAGGAGCCTTGGGGGAAGCACAGGTATGAGGGGTTTGGCTAAGACTCTGTGAAAATATAACCTTTGGTAGATGCATCTCTTTGTAGTTTTTGCATGCCAGTTATTTACTGAGAGGCCAGCTTCCATGAATGTCAGATCTTGATTTTGTACCAGTAGGAAGCAAACATAACAGTATAGAGGAGTAAACAGGGAATCCTGGCACAGCCAGTGTTTCCACCAACAGGATATGGAAAAGGAAATAATTACACTAAAACGAGAGGGCCAGTCATGAGGCTGTATCAGGTAAAAATATGGTGTGACGTTTCTGATCTTTGATACCTATCTGCGTGCATGGTTTGTCTCCAATTATGGAGGTAGATAGTTGTAAGTAATAACTTAAAATTTCCTTGGAAAAGGAAAGGGTAAGTAGGAACAGTTGATGGAGAAGATAAAGGAACCTCATCATATGAGATGCATGCAGCTTTCCTAATTTTTCAAAGTAGTTTTAATCTCTTGTCTTGGAATGAGTGTTTTGGAAACATGTTCTGCAATAAGCGTAGGTTGTAAATCTCCTCCTTTGACCGGGGAGAAGGCATTTTCTTTGGAAAAGAATGTTGTGACAAAAGAGCAAGAAAATAGTAATAACTATAAGCCGGTACATGTCACTTAACCCTCCTATCATTCATTCATATGTTTTTATATTTGCATGAAGCAATGCTTGTATGCATAGGAACAAACACTATTCAGAAGAGATCTCTGAGTAGCTGTAAAAAAAGGTCATAATTCAGTGGAGAAACAGATCTAAAACTGTCACTAACTATTGTGCTTGGTATAAAGCATACGTTGCTATTTAATCAGATGTCCCCCAGTTTTGGTAATTTCCTTATTGGTATATCAGCTGTCCTGCTGCCAGATCAGCATTAAACATCTGCCTAAAGTTTAATCTATGGGCAGTGGGAATTTTATTGGCGTGAGAAATGTTGTGATGCCAAATGTGTTTTGGCTCTGAATGTAAAGGTACACTGTGATAGTAACAACTCCCAAGTCTTCTCATCCTCATTCTGAAGCTAAAAGCTGTGTGAAATAAATGGTAAAAGCTAACCTGCTCTTTCAAAGAAAATGTGTCATGGGTATAAAAGCATGAATGTTTCAATTCAAGCTAATGAGTGCAATTTATCACTTACCTCTGCTTTTCTTTGGTTTTCAGCTCATGGGGCATTCTGAATGGGATCACAAACGAGGACCCAGAGGCTCACAGGTCAGTTACTCCACATCTTGTGTTTGATTTTGGTTTTTTGGTAAATTTGAGGCATTCCAGTAAGTTTTCCATCTGAGAATGGCAAAGTTGTTAATTTTGTTAATATTTGCAGGATTGAACCAACGGAACAAAGCATAAAACCATTACAGCTCCCATTAATACAATTTTTGATCTGTAATCCAAACAGATGATTCATACAGAGCAACAGAAAGTTCCTTTAAGTAGCAGAAAAATGGATTAGAATGTATTGAGAAAGCATTTCTTGCTCAGCTGTATCCATCAGGACATCAAAGAGATGCAATTTCAAATAATATGTGTATGTTTTATGTTTGCTGGAATTTTTTTAAACCTGACAAACTTGTAAAACTTGGATAGCCCTCTCACTACTAATCTGTTCATTACTGAACAAGGTGTTAGAACTGTGTGGGAAGGTGCAGGAAAGCCATGTGTAGCTACTGGTTTGTCCTTGACACATCATTGAAAGGAAATTATGCTAATAGTGTAAGTGGCATCACTTGATACATTTTTAAATTATCTATAGAATTACAATTGCTGCGAATGAGACATTGCTACCAATATTGGTGTTCAGAAATTTTCCTGCTTGGGTAAAGCAGTCTTTCCCATCTAGTGTTGAAATTATAAAAGTTAGAGCTTTGGTATTTTGGAATTGCTTTTACTTCAGGTGAAGGATTTTTATATGGATACCTTGTACAACAATCCAGACATGTCATAGAAATGTTAAAGGATCTGTAAGAAGGTAGGAAAAGAAATTCATAGAATCATCAAAGAGCAGTTTGGATTTGGAGGGCTCTTTAAAGATCATTTTGTTCCAAACTCCCTGCCATGGGCAGGGACACTTTTCACTAAACCAGGTTGCTCAGAGCCCCATCCAACCTGGCCTTGAACTCTTCCAGGGATGGGGCATGCACAGCTACTCTGGGCAACCTGATCCAGTGCCTCACAACCCTCACAATAAAGAATTTCTTCCTAACATCTAATTTAAACCTACCCTCTTTCAGTTTGAAGCCATTTCCCCTTGTCCTGTCACTACAGTTCCTGATAAAGAATCCCAAAATGACCCAAGCTCTCTGATTACTGTGTGCTATCTTAGTGCCCAGTCACAAGAAGCAAGGAATAAAAGTTTCATTAGAGGGAAGAAAATAAGCCTCAGTTATTCCACTGTAGCCTCAGATTATCACTTTTACATGGCTCTGAAAATTGTCTTGATAGAAAGAGTGTTAAACCTAATTTAAATAGTTCCCAGAAGGGTTTTAAGAAATTTAGGTTCTGATTTTTGCCCTTAATATAAAAGAGCTGTTTTATCTTTTTATGGTTCTGTTGCATTGTTGCCAGCTTGTGTCTTTAATCAAGGTACCCATTGTTAAAAAGGATCTTGCTTAAAAATGAAGGTGAGGGATGTGTTAGCTATACTTCTGCTTCAAACCTAAAGCATCAGGTGTTTAAAGGTGGAGCGGCAGTTACCTGCAGGTTCTGCCACAGGGTTGCTTATGGTGTTTCCCTAGGTCAGGAGGGCTTTCCATCAGCACAGAAATAGGGCTTGGGAGAAGAGGTCTCTCCTGGACAATGGTAGTGGAACCTGTGCTGGCCAGCAAGCAGTGAGGGGAGAGTAAGGAGCAGGTAGGGGTTTAAGGTTAGGGTTTTGGGAGGCAATTTATTAATCTTCTATGATCTTTTAATTCATGCGGGGTAATGAGAGGAAAGTGGGAAGATGGATCTTAGGAAGCCACCTGTGTTTGTGGATGTTAGAAACGTCACTTGTGAGAACAGAAGGTGCAACCTCTGGTTTACTATAATGCAAAACTAAAATCCACATATGAACCTGTAAAGTTATTCTTCCAAGGCTCATTAAAAAAGCTCTGATCCAGCGAAGATTTTTTTTAAGAGCAAGTAGGTTTTCTATGGCATGTGTTGAAACATGAGAGCAGACTACTACAGTGCATGTCATACTTCTTAATGACCCACTCGGAAAACGTGTTCCTTTCTGCACGTAGGAGTTAAATGCAAAGTGCTGTAGTTACAGGTAGCGATGGATGTCAGATGAAATACACCGAGGCTTGTGGGAATTTCTGTTTGCAGGAGTTTGTCTCGTGATAAGCATCTGCAATTCAATAGAATGTAAATGGGACAAGTAAAAAACTGTCTTTACAATATTTAACTTGCTCCTGGCTTCTACACCACCATTACACTTCCCTTTTTAATATATTGCGTGGCACACACACACACACACACGTGTGTATGTTATAGGATTCCTTTTCTTTCAGAATAATTATACTATTAAGGTTGCTGTAATTAGAGTGAATTATAGGTTACCTTACAAAGATCAATGAGTTCCTGGCTACCTACTTGGGGTTTTTTTTCCATCCCTTTTTTCTTCTCTGAAGACAACACTTCCTGCTGTAAGTGCTTCACGCAGAGAATTTACTCTATGGATTTGAAATCAAACAGAAAGGGCAAAGTGAATTTCATTATGCTCTGTCCTTAATTTGCAAACTTAATACAGGCTAGAATTTAGAATTCAGGCATGAAACTTCAAAATTGAATTCTAAATTAAAGAAATTCCTAAATGTCTAATCCACCTAAAGAAATCTCTCTCAAATATACACATGCAGTTCTGTAGAACCACATCATCTCACTCATGTGAGGGGAAAATTTCCCCTCCCATTTGTAATGTCAGCACATGCTACAAGAAAATGTGACTAGCAGAATTCATCCTTGGCATATTATTGCTCTGCAGAAAAATTATGCAAATCGTATTTTAATCGTTCTACTAAAACACAGTACTTGATGCTTCTAAGATGTTTCAGGTGGCACCCACGGCACGCTTTGTGCACACGTTTTTACGAGGGACCTTGAACGTGTGGGAGTAATTTGCTGCTCTGTCATCAGGACTTGTTTGGCTTGCTGGAGATGTAGGCGTAGCCCCAGGAGTCAGTGGAATCGAGCGATCGTTCCTCCAGCATTGTAAAAGAATGAGAGAGAAACACAGGTCCAGCGCTTTTAATTCTCTTTAAATATAAAAGCTCTCAATTATATATCTGAGGTGCTGCATTTTACCCCTCCAGTTCCTAAGCAACAGCTATTTTCAGATTGAGTGCGTCTGGTGTTGTCTACCTACTTCAGGCTTTTACGAGGTGGCTCGTCAGTGAAAGCTGGGCTGTTCTCTGTCTCCACTGGCTCCCTTTGTCGTGGCACTGTGAGGAGACAGATGCTTTAGAGAAACGGGAGAAGCTTGGGTGTAACCGGTCTCGACCTTGCAGCTCACAAAAAACTTGTGTACCTCGGGGAGCTCTGCCATCTACAATGAAGCACAGGAGTCAGAAATAAGGTTCTTGACACTGGTTTGGAAGAAGCCTTTTTCTCAAGTCCGGAAAAGCCTCTAGAGCCGATTCGAAACCATGAGCCGGAAATCTCTGTACTTGCTGAAGCGTAGGTGGGAGTCGATTCCCGCTGCTGACCAGGTACAGTGCTCTGGTGAACCTGTTGTGTCTCTGTCTACCCTTGCAGTGCCACTGCAAAGAGATTTATGTTGATTTAATGGGGGTGGTTGGGGTCCTCTGCATACAGAGAGAACCAGCTGGTTATTACTTGTCATTTCCATGATGAATACTGCAAAATATTCATAAAGCTGATTTTGCAGGAGCGTGTGCTTGTGAATGTGGAGATGCCATGACAGCCCACTAATGCAGACTTTTTTTAACCAACAGAATCCCACTGTCTCAAAAATGAGACTTTTCTAAAGGCTTTAGGAGTGCTTTAAACTGAGGGGCTGAGGAAAAGTGTAGTCTACTGTTGAAGGGTTTCTCAGTGCACATCCTTGGTGCATCCCATACCTTACACATATGTATATATGTATGAAACCACTGCTGCACTGGCAGAACCTCAGCGTTTTCAGGATCATCTTGGTTGATGCGTCATTGCAAGTATGTTAACAAGGATGGGAGTAAAGCAGATGTAAACAGAAAATATGTAAACATCTGCTGGGCAAAGCAGATGTAAAAATTGTGGGATGCTGTTTGGAACAAGCATTGTCACCATAAGTAGGGCTGAGATGAGATGAATGGGAGTACAATTAGTATATTTCCTGCTTCTTGATCCAGGCACTCCAGGGTTCTTTTATTTTTATTTTTTTTTTCAATATCTTGGTATGTAAAGACACTAAAAAAAATAATTCTCAAAATAATATTGAAAGTGGAGGTGTTTGCTTAATACATGTTTCAACTCAGTCTTCTGTTTATAAAACTTGACTGTGAAGAAGTGCCTTTATCAGTGATAAAGAGAAATTCAGGAGAAAATTCTTCAACAGAAAGAAGGATGGACATCAAAAATGCTTCCCAGTTTTTGAGAAGCATCCTCCTTATACTTTTTTATTGAGAGAGAGAAGGGCAGATTACATGCCATATTTTATAGAATTGTAGAATTTTAAAGCTAAATTAGACCACTGAGAACATCTAGGGATATCAGACCTATTACTAGTCAAAAAATACTATGTCACATCATAATTCACAATAAAATAATAAAGGCATAGTTGATGAATAACTTTTCATTGTATTGAAGTGGAATTGAATTGATCCATTTCAGTTAGACTCTCTAAAATCTCCTGGTAAAAGAGGGGTAAATAAATGCTCTCTTATGAAGTGAGTCATTTGTAATCTTGTTTCTATTAAGATGTAGAGACACTAAGGTTGTTTCAAAGGAAAGCTCTATTTCAGCCTCACTTTTCCAACGTTTCCTTTTCTTTTTAATCACTCTAACCTAATGTTGCAATGCATCATACTGTGTCACAGTACGATGTGTCCGAGAAAAAAATAAGTATTCCTTACCTAGGTGTGGGATGTGCTTGACTGCACTGAGCTGTGCATCCATTCCATCATCAGTCCCTCAACCCCTCTGAAGGGTTTTAAAAGAGGAAAGGAAATTTCCCTGACCCATCTACCACTTCAGGAGAGTGAGACTCAGTGAGTGATGCACACAGATGGGGTTGACTTGGGCGTAGGGTGAATCTGGATGGATTGACCCAAGGTAAACTAACAGGGGGAAGATGATGTTCAGCTTCAGACCCACAGATATTGCTGTTGGCATTGCTCCTTACACTGGCTGGCAGAAGTGGAGTGGGGCTGCTCTACTTGTTCTCCTCCTTCCTTGCTCAACAGTGCCTCGTAGGAAAATGCAGTTACTGTGCAAGATGACAACCCCAAAGAGGCAACTTCTCAAGTGTTTTGGGCTGATCCTGTTCATAAGTTATTGTATAAAAATAATACCTCTGTCTTTTGTTGCAAATTCAATTTTTAGTCCCTAAAGCACTAGCTTACTGTGTTCTAAGCTAACCTTGAGGAAATGATATTATATTTTGATAGACAAGTAGTAACATTGTAGATTACTTCTCTATTCAGAGTAGATAAAAGATATTTATGTTAACAAATGACAAAACCTCTCCAAACTGGCTTACTGTACTACCACTTTAAAAAAAATACTAAAGGGAGGAAACAAAGTCAAACTCTGAAAGTGGGATTTTTGGCTTGATCTTGTTTCTTGTTTAAAATAATAGAACAATCTGACTTTTAGAGCATGGGAGCTATAAGTCCATAGGGAAGTCTGATACTCTATTTGAACACACTTTCTGTCTTTTAAAAGTTATTGATTTGCTATTCCTCATCTTACATATTTTACATCAAATCAAATTATACGCAGAACCATTTAGGCCAGGGTGAGCAGGCTGAGAAATAAAGGTACTGGCAAAACTAGAGTAGTTATGATGTCTATAGAAAACATTGTCGAAGGTTGATGGGTTTTTGGAGGTATATTGTTATATAATTTTTTTTTTTGATCTTTTGAGCGTCTCTGATGCTCACAGACAGTACATCACAGAAGTTTCCATGGTTCCCAAGGTCTGGTATGACAAAGGAATGTTATGCTTGACGTTTTGCATTTTGTGTGTGTGAAAGGGTGAGGAAAGTGGATTTGAGTGTGAAACCTGAATTAGATTATTTAGTTTCAGTTGATGAGAAATGTCTGATCTAGCTATACTTTTTTATATGTGAAATAGTTTTATCCTGTGAGTGTTTTTCATGGGTAAATTTAGGCAAAATATTGATGAATTAAATGTTGTATATTAACATCTATTCAACAGACTGTAGTCTCTTAGTGCTTGAATCTTGAATGGCTTTCTCAGTAATTTCAGAAGGAATTACCTTTATAGATCTAAGGAAAGAATTTATGAATGCTTTACTTTCTTGTCCATCTAGCAGTTCAGATTGCCCGAAAATGTTCCCCAAAGTTTCAGTAAGATTTGGGGCAAAATTCTCTGTTGGTTTTATTTGGTGTATGTGCCTGAGGATCTTGTTGCTTGAACTGATCCTAGTTTTTTATCCCTGAGAGGTGTAACTAAGAATGATTTCACTGAATGAATATAGATTTTAAAATGTTATGGTAACCAGATGAGCCAGAGGTGTTAAATATTTGCTGCAACGCTGTTGAGTATTTCCCTCTGCCTGAAATTCCCTTCAGATTTCATGTGCTGTAGCCTTTGAGTGTAAGTTGTATTTGATACTGCTCCTAAGACAGGAAAAATTTTCACACATTATCCCGTGATGGAAAATGAATTTAAAAACAGCAACTAGATTTATACAGCAGTGTAAAAACCTCATAACCAATAATTGCTGTAGGGATTTATATAGCTGTAGATAGTTAAAAGGAATGTTCTATGCAGATAAATAAATGTAGTAAGCTAGAAATGGATGCTTATAGCAGTGTAAGCAGCGGTAATGGTTTCTGTCCCATTAAGTCACCAGTTTAGATTGGAATGGCTTAGTGTAAAGCCCAGCAAGTGATGCCTCTCTCACCTGCCAGTGATTTACAGCACAGCTATGCCTGAGGCAGTTTGCATGTACAGTGCAATATCTTGTTCCTAACCACTGATACGGTGGGTGGGAGAAACTCACAGAGCCTACAACCCATGCAGGGTGCTAAACAGCAGATAAACTGATCCTGATATGACTTGAGTCATAACTGTGAAATGATAAATCAAGGGATTTTCCGAGAGAGAGTTTGTTATCCCATTACATCATGCAGCTACCACATTTTCAGTGCATTTATGTATAAAGTAATTCTGATGGATTAAAGCTGCTGTAAAGAAATGGACAAGGTTCACTTTGTGAGGAATGGAAACTGTGGCTTTGCATATTTCTTTTTTTTTTCTTTATTGCCTTTTAATTTTTTTTTTACTAATGGCTCACTTCAGCCACAGACCTTTTCGCTCCTTGCATCTTGCCTTTCTGCCCCGAGTGGTCCTCACTTGTAACCCCTGCACACCCATGAGGATGGCTGCAGCATATCTGGTATTTTTAAGGCAGTGTTGGAGCTCCTGTGCTTTATTTTTCTCTCAGGTGTCATTCAGACTTTTTCTTGCTGAGGTTCAGCCAGAGCCAGCTTCACTGGGAACTTCCTGGTGAGGAAGCACAAGCCTCTGCAGGACAGCAGTCGTGGCACCCAGGCTTGAATGCACCAGTGGGGATGTTTGTTCAGGGGGGCCGTGGCAGAGCCTGGCTCACAGCAGGACATTATCAATGAACTGAGTGAGAACCTCAGCGCAGCAGGGGTTCGTGGTATGTGCCTCCTCTCTGTGCAAAGCTCAGGAAGCTCTTCATGGAGAAGGAGATGACGGAATGGTTATGGCGAGGAGGCCTCGGAGCAGTCAGTGTGGGACTGTGGGTGTCCCTGGCTCACAGCTTGCCTGTGGATTAGGAAAATGTGCAAAAGAGCCAGGGGCAGCAGGAGCCAAGAAGTTCCTTCTCCTTTCAAGTGGTGGGCTGTGCCTAGTTATTCTTTTTGCACAACCTGTCTCCCAGACAGGCACGTGGTGGGGCCATCCCGCCCATGGCATCACCACCACCGCAACACATGGTCTCTCGAGGAGGCTTCAGTGGCAGCAGAATAGCAATCATAGCCATGGAGAGGCAATGCAAGCCAACGTAGAGGTCATGGACTACCTTGTATCATTGTATTTACTTAGAAGAAGTGTGTGCCAACCATCAGTCAGAGGGGCCACAAGAGCAGCACTGTGAGTGGCCACAGGAGCTCCCAGCTGCCCTTGTACCTCCAGCTTATGCAAATCCACACACCCAGGAATTACACCCTTGTTAGTCATAGCTCACCTCTCCCCACACTTTCACATTAGAAAGGCCCATGGGGAATACATGCCTGAATCAGAATTCCTGTTGGGACACATCACAGCAGTGTTCCTTGTACCTAATTCAATCCCTCTTATTTTATTTTACCTAAAAGCAGTTTACCAAAAAAAAAAAAAAAAGTTTCCTGTTAAGAATGTTTTTGTGGTTTTCCACAGTTATTCATTGTTAATAAAACCTTACATTATCCTTTCATTCAGCAGACAAGATTTCAAAGCTTTAGTGGCAGAGCAGAGATTTGTGGAGTTTGGGATGTTATGAGAAAGAGGCCTCAT